TATAAATTAAAAGCAACAAGTTGGCCCAGTGCATAGAGTGGTAGGTTTGGAATCAAAAGATCTGAATTTGAATCCTGCCTCAGACACATTACTTGTGTGATCCTGGACAAGTCTCTTAACCACTGTCTGCCTCAGTTTTCCTTATTTGCAAAATGGCAATGATAATAATAGCACCTACCTCTCAGGAGTGTTGTGAGGCTCAAATGAAATAAGCTATGTAAAGTGCTATGTAAATGTTATTGTAGATTATTATATTATCTATATTATTATAATTATCTCATTAGCAATTAAATAATCCTGGACTGGGTATCATAATCCTTGCATTTGGGTAGAGGACCCAGTACTTAGGAGCTTTGTGGCTGAGATCGATAGAGGTTGGTGCTTTGGATTTGGAAGGGGCAATACAGGCCAGCTAGGCCACCTCTCCTTTTAAAGAAGAGACAAGGAAATCCCAGAGAAGAGAAGTGATTTGCTCTTGGTCATTTAGTAAGTAGCAGAAAAGAGGTCTGAGCCCTAGTCTTCACACTCCAAATTCAGCTCTTTCCAAAGCACCACACTTCCTTTTCTCAGCATTATTTTTTATCTGTAAAATGGGGATAATATTTTCAGGACCTATCTGACAGGGCTACTGTGAGGGGAAAAGTAGGAACCCGTTGCCCAAGGACACATAACAAGTTAATGGCAGAGTGAGGCCCTTCTACCAGGTCTCCTGACTCCTAATCCTCTCTTTCCAGCTTCTTAGAGAAGGGTGGGTGGTGGGTGGAGACACTTGTAGTCTCTTGTCACCCTTACCTCGGAGCTGTCCTCACCCTCCTCCGTCCTCCACCATTCAGGATTGCTTTGTGCGTCTCCCTATCTCCCGTCTCCCGGTGTCCCTTTTCCACTTAGAACCGCAGACTTTGGGAGTCAGGGTCCTGCTTTATCTCTCTTCCCTGTCCATCTCCATCTCCTTACCATCTCCTTTGGTCCTCTCCTCCTTTCCTCCCCTCCCTAGTCCTCCATCACTTCCTCTTCCCCTCCCTCCTCTTCTCCTTTGTCCCTCCTCCCTCCTTCCCCCCACCTCCCTAGCCCCGGCCCCAGCCCCAGCCCCTGCCCGGCCTCGGCCCCGCCCCGGTCCGCTCCAGTGGCTGTGCGGGAGGTCGGGCCCGCCCCCTCAATAGGCCCCGGGCCGGGCTGTGGAGCCGGAGCGGGAGCCGGAGCCCGAGCCCGGGGGGCCGGGCCGAGCCTGGCCGGGCCAGAGCTGGAGCTGGAGTCCAAGAGCCCAGGGAGGTCCAGGCTCGGCTGGTGAGTTACTGGCTCGGGGCCAAGCTGAGGCCGGGGAGCCGGAGGCGGGGAGAGTGGCCCGGGCACTGGGAGGCACGCTGCGCTGCGTGCGGGGGTGATCTGGGGGTGTGGGAGCAGGCGGGGGTCTTTCTCCCCTTCCAGCTGCTGTTAGGTGTGTGTGTGATCGCCCAGCTCTGGGCAGACTGCCTTGGGGTGAAGGTGCTGTCGTGACTCCGTGGCTCCCGGCGCGGGTCTGTGGGTCTCTGGCTTCACCGGCACTGTTGGGTCGGGTAGCAAACCCTAGTCATTCTCACTCTCTCCAGGACAGAGGGCGATCCTCACTGGTGTGTTGGGCTGGGTATGAGAGGCTAGGACACCTCTACTGAACTCCTTGTCCTGTTCTGGACGGGAGTGGGGGTGGGGGTGGGGTGGAGAATAGGGAAAGGGTCTCTGGTGGGAGGCGTTAGGAAGGAACTATGAAGCCCCCTCCAACCTCCTGTTCCCTGCTCCAGCCTCACTTTGGATGATCCCGTCTGCCTGTCTCTCTGGCAGGGTGAGAGCAGTGGCGGTCTGTATTGTGTGCCTTTCTAAGGCAGACTCACTCCCCTCACCTCTGGTACCTCCTCTCCTGTTCCAAATATACAGCCCCCCTACTTTGGCACCCAGCCGAGGCATGGCTGGACTCCTTAGCACATTGAGGTTCATGATTCTGCCTCTGATGGGTAGGTGAGATACTTATCCTGGGTGCCCTGGTTGGGGAGGGAAGATAGTCCTGGGGAAAACAAAAATGGGTTAGGAGTAGAGAGTAGAGAAAGAGCGAGTCAAAGCTCAGATGGGCCCTGGGACAAGCTGGGGGCAGAGCAGAGGCAGCCACAGGGGCTCCAGATCTTCACTCTCACCAATTGCAAATAGAAAGTTAATTTGGTCCGAAGCCTTACAGCGTCTGTCCTTCTAGCCTCCTTCCACTCTATTAATACAGCCCTCACCCCACTGCCTGGCATCCCCTATATATAGCCCTGGAGGAAATGTGGTCACACCCCCTCTGCTGGAGAGAGGAGGGAGGGTCGGAGTGGGTGGGATCCAATCATGGGGGTCCCACCCAGTCAGCATACCCCTTGGGTGGGCTGGGAGGGGAGGGCTGCTAAGGAGCCATTAATATCTACCCTAACCCCCTTCCCTTCCACCGGGGCACTGTATGATTTTCTAATCACTCCTTTCTTGGGGTCAGGCAGTCCATTCGGAGCTTGAACCAGTTACTCAGAGGTGATCATTAGTTAACTTGTTAAATAGCTGTAAAGTATGTGTGTGGGGGCAGGGGGTGGGGCTAGGACTGGGTAACTCAAAATAGCTAGGCTTGTTATTAGTACTGATTAGTAAAGTTATGATTATTCTCATGCTGGCTCCATGTGACCAGTGGCATGGCTACTACCAGCTAACTGTCATCCTTTGGGATTCTTGATTCCAGAATGGCTTAGGAGACCAGGAGAGTTTGGGGGCATACTAGGTTACCTACCACATTCTGATATTCTCTGCCTTAGGGAGAAGGACAGGAAAGCCCCCTTGTATCCAAGGCAGGTAATAGCATTGTCCGCGATACTGATCATTGACCACCCTAGGATCTTAGGATAAAGCTAAAAACTCCTTCTACAGCTTTGTCCATGGCCCTGGCATCCAGACACATCAGCAACTCCCAGCTCCCTTCCCTGCAGGGCAGAGGGAATTGCCAGGGCAGACACGTGGCCTGAGATGCCCCCTACCCTTGCTGCCTGCCTGAGCAAAACTGTCTCAGCGTCCAAGAATGCAGTCTTCCTTGCCAGCCTCAACTGCATGTTGGCATAGAGCTTAGGGGTGCCAGGTGGTAGCAGGTTAGGCAGACTGGAGGCTGGTGGGGGATGGAGGGAATGTGTGGGCAGAGGAAAGAGTGGGTAGTGGCATCTGCACAGACCACTGAGGGTATCCCCTGAACCACCTGTCCTCTCTGCCTCTCCCTGATAGGGTACCTCCCTCAGGAACTTATGTGAATGGGAGCCCATAGTGCAGCTGGCACAGTGGTAGTGATGGAGGTGGAAAAAGATTTGCTAACTCGTGCCTGGGGTGCCTGCAGGCACACCTGCTTCTGTGCACACTCCTTGGTGCTCCCGGCTACATTCCCTGGCTCCTGCTCCAACTCCCTTGACTGTGTGGGCAGGACCAGGCTTGCGCTTCTACCTAGGAATGTGTTAGACTCTGAGGCTAGGGACTGGCTTAGTAAAGGCAGGGTCCAGTGGTTCTGGGGTTCCTCTGTGTCTTCTTGCCCTTGCTACCCTGCTCCTGACAAAGCACCTTATGGACCAAAGCTTAAAATGTTAGGGCTGGAAGAGACCTTAAGGTCATTATTTTATAGCTTCGGACCTTTGAGGTGAAAGGTCACATAGCCTGTAAATAGCCCAGTTCTAGACTACCCTAACCCCTTCCCTAGTCTCCTTGGGTGTCAGGATTCTCTCTAGTTCAGAAAGAAACCAAGTCTTACCAAGAGGTAGCAACATGCCCTGGGCCACACTGTCAGTCAAGGGCAGAATTAGAAATAGAGCCCACAGCTTTTAGCAGGATGGTCTTCTGGCTCTGCAATTGTTCTTCCCTACCCCCATCCCCCACCCCAATCTGTAAATGGTACACTTTCAAACTGAGCTATCTAGAAGGTGGCATCTGAATACACATGAGCATGTTTGTATGGACACACGTCCCTGTGACAGTGCATTGGTACCAACTGGTGTTTTGCTTACTGTATTATGAGAACTTGTTTATAATATGTCGATTATTTAATATGTTGATTTTAATATAATTGGATTCTTTTATAATACCATTTTGTTTTATGCATTTAACAACATTATTCTGAGAAGGGGGCCATAAGCTTCACAAGACTTCCAAAGGGGTCCATTCACTCACAAAAGGTGAAGAGTCCCTGCTCTGGTGCTTTACAGCCTACAAAACTTGTCTTGTGATCCCCACAACTACTCTGTGATGGAGGCAGGGCTAATTTCCCTACTTTGCAGATAAAGAAACTGAGGTTTATAGAGCTTGAATGACTTGTTCAAGGCCACATGTTTTTTTTTCCCACTTTTTTGGGGGTTTGTTTTGTTTTTAGGCAATTCAGGTTAAGTGACTTGCCCAGGGTCACACAGCTAGTAAGTGTCAAGTGTTTGGTCTGAGGCCAGATTTGGTTTTTTTTTTCCTGAGGCCCGATTTGAACTCAGGTCCTCCTGACTTCAGGGTCAGTGCTCTATCCACTGAACCACCTAGCTGCCCCCTCCACATGTTTTTTAAATGGTAGAGCTGGGCCTAGAACTCGGGTCTTCTATTTCTTAGTCCAATGCTCTTTCTATGCTCTGTACAAGATGCTGGGCATGGATGTATGTTTATGGGGGAGGGATGACTTGTTTACTTGTACAGACACATGTGAAGCTCTGTTCATGAGTCTGTTATAGTTGAGGGCATATAAATAAATGAAGAGCAGCTAGGTGGTACGGTGGATAGAGTACTGGGCCTGGAGTCAGGAAAACTTATCTTCATAAGTTCAAATCTGGCCTCAGACACTTAGTAGCTGTGTGACCCTGGCAAGTGAGGAAAGGTGCAGCAAATGTGTGAATGCCTGTATGTGTTCTAGGGTCAAAGGACTACCTCTTGGCCAGGAGGTTCATGTTGGGGGGAGGTCAAATAAAAAACGTCATTCTGAACTCTGGCTTTCTCCTCTTCTACAGGCTGCATGTTGTGCCTGGGTCAGTCTACCTTCCTCCGATTTAACCACCCAGCAGAAGCCAAGTGGATGAAAAGCATGATCCCATCCGGAGGTAGGGGCCCTGGAGCACCTTATACCCCTGCCCTAGGTAGGTACTGCAAAGTAAGGTGGGATCATGAAGTCTGCCTGGCCTGGGAATGAGCTAGGGTTAGAGTGACTCCTAGTGTCCACCATTGGGCCCCAAGAGAGCTGTCCCCTCCCACCCTGAGCACACTTGGAGTGTCAGCGGGTTTGGCTTCTTGTCATCTACCGAGTGCTCAGCAGGCAGAGGGGATGCCAGGCAGTTGAGGCTCTGGAATAGATCCAGGGCAGTGCCAATTGGCTGGTATCAGGTTTTCCTGGGGATCATGTGCCTGGAGAAAAAAGCTTTGCTGGCTTCACTCCCCACAACGTGGTGCCTGGCATGGTCTAAGACCTAAACCCTCTAGTTATGCCACTGTTGAAGGGCCTTGCCTTTACCCTTTCTGGTTGCCTGAGGGGAGGCAGAAGATCAAGAATTATGCCAGTCAAATGCCCATAAACTGGCTAGATTTATTCCTGCCTGCTGGCAAGCACTGAAGTTCTCTGCCTCATGCCCCACCCCTAGAGTACACTCTGCCAGCCGGTGACTCAGTCCAGCAGCTGAAGCTGGTGTGTGAATTATTGATTTTTGTAGGAGAGGATATGAATTGCCCATGGGGCCTGGGTCTACCTCCCTACCTCTCTCCAGCTAACATGGAATAGAGAGAGAGAGACACTGTTGGCTTTCTTATTAACCTGACACATACAGCCCTTCCATAGTTATTACCTTTAGGAGAAAACTTAATGTTTGGAGGCAAGAATAAGATGGCAAGCTTCCATAGCCACTAAGGTTAGGCCTAGGCAGGAGATGTGAGGGAAGGTGGGTCAGACCAATGCCACTTGTGCCTAGAAAAATGCCCACTCCCCTTTGCCTGCCATTATACCCCAGGCTCCTTAACTCTACCTTTGGGTTTCCATGATGGTGGTTCCCAGACCTGTGCTAGGAATGACTTCCTTCCCCTTTTGGCCCTCCTTTTCTAATTAGCACAACCTTTTCTAATTCCTTGGGGATTTATATGACTGGGTTCCTGGGCTACATCTTGCCTGAGTTTCCCTCTCTTATTCCTCTTCTTCCTTCATTCCCCTGCCCTTCGGCCTTAATGCAGGCCTGTCTGATTGAGGCAAGCAGTGGTTCTAGAGCGGCCAGGGTGGCAGTGGGAGGAGAAGAGGGGCAAAGCAGGACAGGAATGAAGAGCTTCTGTGGCTAGCAGCTTAATAGGCATAACTGGAGCCATAGAATTGTACCTAGATGTCTGCTTTAGCTTCCAGGAACTGGCCATTAGCACTAGATCCCGACCCACTGTCCTCTAAATGCTCCTGATTGATTGCAGATGGTGCCACCTCCAGCCTCCCATTCCTCCTTGGTGGGAAGAGGGAGGCAGATGATTTTCCCCCCCTCTTTGGGCTTCCCTGAATTGGATGGGGGGGGCATGGAATATTCCATGTTTCCTAGCCTAGGCCCTGCCAGGTTATGCCCCTTTTGGGTACCTGGCCTAGTTTCCTTGCAGACTTCTCTCATCTCCATAGCACACTGTCAGAACCTACCCTTCTTGCAGGGAAGGTAAGTGAGGTTGGGGAAACCAAGGCACTGGAAGGTGTTTAGTGAGGGATTCAGGCTTTAGGACCCAGGGATGCTCAGCATTTCATTCTCCAAAGTTCTGCTTCCTGCTGTTCTCTGGGAATTAGAATAATTTAGTTCAACATTCTCACTTTACAAGTGAGGAAACTGAGGCTCAGAGAGGTTGTCATTTGCCCAAAGTCATATAGATAGCTAGAATCAGAGCCTAGCCTAGGACCTGGGTCTCCTGTATTCACCGGGAGAGGAAGGGCAAAGTGAATTAGATGGTAGGGGTCAGGTACCGGACCCAGTAAGAGATTCAGACCTGACTTACCACATGACCTCGGTCTGCTCTGTCCCAGCTGAGTCAGAGAGCCTGGTGAATGGGAACCACCCTCCTCAGCCCCCCAGCCGGGGTCATGCTGCTTGCTCCAGCCACAGCTCCCTGGTGAGCTCCATCGAGAAGGACCTGCAGGACATCATGGACTCCCTGGTGCTGGAGGAGCCGGGGGCCCCTGGCAAAAAAGTGTCTGCAAGCTCCCCGCTTTCCAACGGTGGGCGCTACACACTTTCACCACCTATCAGCCCAGGGGCCATGTCTGTGGGCTCCAGCTATGAGAACAATTCTCCCCCCTTTTCTCCTCTCTCCTCACCGGCCAGTAGTGGCAGCTGTGCCAGCCACTCACCCGGAGGGCAGGAACCGAGTCCGGCCATCCCTCCGCTGGTCCCTGCCCGCTCCTCAAGCTACCATCTGGCCTTACAGCCCCCACAGATCCGACCTGGCGGCGTCCGCCCAGCAGAGAGCCCCCGGCTGGGCAGGAAAGGGATCCATGAAGGGCCGTCGAGCCCCGGGCGGCGGGCTCTGCTGACTGATAGTCCTGCTGCGGCTGTGCTGGCGGAGGCCCGCAGAGCCACTGAGAACCCGCGGCTGGGGGCGTCGCTACCCGTCGTGGCCATCAGCCTGAGTGAATACCCTGATGGCAGTGCTCGAAGCCAGTCCACCAGCATTCCTGGCAGTCCCAAGTTCCAGCCTCCCGTCCCTGCCCCCCGGAGCAAGGCCAGCGCCCTCCAGGAGCGGCCACCTAGCCCCTTCCGGGAGCTGCCGGGCACTGAGCGAGCCATGACGGCCAGTCCTTCACGCCAGCTGGTGGGCAGAACCTTTTCAGACGGGATGGGCACCCGATCCCTGCAGCCGCCAGAGAGTCCTCGTCTGGGTCGGCGGGGAGGTCCGGAGAGCATGCGGGAGCTCCCACCTCTGAGCCCATCCCTGTCTCGGCGGGCTTCCCCACTGTCTCCTATGCCTGCCCGGGCCACTGCAGACGCTAAACTGACCAGGGAGATGGCCGAGAGCCCCAGGACCCGCCGCTGGGCAGCACATGCAGCCTCCTCTGAAGACTTCACCCTCACTCTGGGAGGGAGGGGCCGTCGGACGAGGAGCCCCTCACCCACCCTTGGAGAGCCGCTGGTGCCCCGAAAGGGCAGCTTTGGTGGCGGATTGAGTCCAGCCTACAGCCTTGGCTCTTTAACGGGAGCCTCACCCCGGCAGAGTCCTCGGGCCCAGAGGAAGCTCTCAAGTGGGGAGCTCCGGGTGCCGGCTCCCCGAGAGAGAAAGAACAGCATCACTGAAATCAGCGATAATGAAGATGACCTGCTGGAGTACCACCGGCGCCAGAGGCAGGAGCGGCTCCGGGAGCAGGAGATGGAGCGGCTGGTGAGTGACCCTGGGCATGCAGTGGGTGAGTCTCCCTGGTACAGAACCCAAGACCCAAGAATGTTTGAAATGGAAGAGACCTTGATGTTTTTCTATAAGTTTTTATTAGTGTCTTCTGTTTCTTATATCATCATAGTTATCCCCATTATTCTCCCCCCTCCCCCTCTCAAAGAACCATTCCATATAACAATTAGTATTTCTTTTTTTGTGTTTTTTTGATTTTTAATTAATTCATTTTGAATTATCAACAATCACTTCCATAAGCTTTTGAGTTTTAAATTTTTCTCCCCCACCCTCCCCACAACTCTCCCCAAGATGGCGTGCAATCTGATATAGGCTATACATATACATTCCTATTAAACATATTTTCACATTAGTGATGTTGTAGGTAAGAATTAGAACCAATAGGAGACACCACCAGAAAGAGGAAACAAAACAAAACAGAAGAAAAAAAATAGCAAATAGTATGCTTCAATCTGCATTCAAACTCCATAGTTCTTTCTTTGGATGTGGATTTTCCATCATGAGGCCTTTGGAGATGTCTTAGATCCTTGTATTGCTGAAAAGGGTTAAGTCTATCAATATTAGTCATTGCACAACGTGGCTGTTACCATGTACAATGTTCTCCTGGTTTTGCTCACTTCACTCAGCATTAGTCCATACAAGTCTTTCCAGGTTTTTTCTGAAGTCAGCCTGTTCATCATTTCTTATAGCACAATAGTAGTATTTCTTTCAAAGAGGAAAAAAAATCAGTGCAATTGATGTATTGAAAAAGTTCAGAAACATATGGAGACCTGATGGGAGAAAGACTGGGGATCATAAGACAGTGTTAAGACTTAGACCCGGGTATCAAAGGCAGAGTCAGAAGAGATGGGTTCAGGGTATCTTCATGTCTCTTCATTTGAGTCATGTTTGATTTTTATAGTTTTGTTAATTCGTTTTTGATTTTTTGGTGTGAAGTTGTCCTTTCCCTGTACATTGTTGTAGTTGTATATATATATTGTTTGTCTGGCTCTGCTTACCTCATTCTGTATCAGTTCATATAAATCTTTTCATGCTTCTCTGTATTTATCACACACACCAGTTCTTTTTTTTAATTTAGGTTTTTTTTTTAGTTTTCAACATTCACTTCCATAAGCTTTTGAGTTTTAAATTTTCTCCACCTCCTTCCCCTCCCCAGTCTCTAAGACACCATGTAATCTGATGTAGGCACTATATATACATTCACATTAAACATTTTCACTTTAGTCATGTTGTAAAGAAGAATTAGGACCAATGGGAGGAACCATGAGGAAGAAGAAACAAAACAAAATAACAGCAACAAAAGAAGAAAGCAAATAGTATGGCTGGTGGTGCAGTGGATAGAGCACCAGCCCTGGATTCAGGAGGACCTGAATTCAAATCTGGCCTCAGACACATAACACTTAACTAGCTGTGACCCTGGGCAAGTCACTTAACCCCATTGCCTAGCCAAAAGAAAAAAAAATCTTTGTTCTTTCTCCGGTATGGAGGCAAGGGAAGGAATACAGGAGGAAATCTAGGAGATGCAGAAACAAAAGCTATCAATAAAAAAAAATAAAAAAAAATCCACGTCTCTGGATGTGAATAGCATTTTCCATCCCGAGTCTTTTGGAGTTGTCTTAGTTCCTTGTATTGCTAAGAAGAGCTTAGTCTATCAAAGTCAGTCATCACACAATGTGGCTGTTATGTGTACAATGTTCTTCTGGCTTTGCTCACTTCACTCAGCATCAGTTCATATAAGTCTTCCCAGGTTTTTCTGAAATCCGCCTGTTCATCATTTCTTATAGCACAATAGTATTCCATTACATTCATTTAGCACAACTTGCTCAGCCATTCCCCAGTGGATGGGCATCCCCTCAATTTCCAATTCTTGGCCACCACAAAAAGAGCTGCTATAAATATTTGTGTAAACATGGTTCCTTTCCTCATTTGTATGATCTCTTTGGGATACAGACCTAGAAGTGCTATTGCTGGGTCAAAGGGCATACACAGCTTTATAGCCTTTTGGACATAATTCCAAATTGCTCTCCAGAATGGTTGGATTAGTTCATAACTCCATCAACAATGCATTAGCGTTCCAATTTTCCCACATTTTCTCCAACATTTATCATTGTCCTGTTTTGTCATGTTAGCCAATCTGATAGGTGTGCACACACATCATTTCTTACAGCACAGTCATAGTCCATTAGATTCGTATACTACAGTTTGTTTAGCCATTTCCCAATTGATGGACATCTTCTTTGTTTCCAATTCTTAGCTATCATAAAAAAGTGCTGCTACAAATATTTTGGAATATGTGGGGACTTTCTTCTTATCTATGGCTTCATTGGGATATAAACCTGGTAAAGAAATCAAAAAGACCTTATAACAATGTAGATGTCTTTACAGATGAGGACCTGAAGTCCAGAGGAAGGGAAATGACTTACCCAAAGTCACACAGCTGGTTAGTGGTAGACATAAGATTAGAACCCATTTCTCCTGACTTCTGGTCCAGTGTTCCCTCCATTTAAACTCTTCTGCCTTCCTGTGTTTTCCTTCTAACTACGCCAGCATGAATGCCATTCCAGTAGTGCTGGTGAGGTTCTTTAGAAACCTGGTAGTCAGGAGACCCGAGTTCATATCTTTCCTTTGACATTTGATATGACAATGGTGATGAGTACTACTAATGATGCCTGGCCTTTAAATAAATACATTTAAATGGTACTTTAAGATTTGCAAAGTACTTCGTATATAGTATTTCATTTGAGCCTCATAATAGCCCTGCAAGGTAGGTTCCATTTTTATTCACATTTACAAATTAAGAAACTGAAAGGATTGGATCACTGGTGTCAAACTCAAGTAGAGATGAGGACTACTCATTTGTATATAAGGATCTCTGTGGGCTTCGTATTGATTTAGTTTTAAAATGTAATATCATCATTATATTTATATTTATTTTGTTAAATTTATCCCAATTACACTTTATTCTGGTCTGGGCCTACTCAGGAGTGTTGTCTGGGGTCTCGACACCTCCAGGTTAGATGACTTACCCAGGGTCAAAAAGTTATATTGTACTCACATTTATAAAGAACTTTATGGTTTATGAATATTACTAGTCATGTGACCATAAGCAAGATATTTAACCTTTTAAAGCCTGAATTTTCTTATCTGTAAAAGGGGGAGAGGGGTATAATAATAAAATATAATACACACCATGAGGGTTGTCATGAGGAAAGTGCTTTAAACCTTAAAGCATTATTGAAATGTGATATCATTATTATTAACATCATCATCAAAGATCGTAGTAAGGGATGACCTTTAAGAGCCCAGGCACCTCTCCTTTCTTCTCCTCTGTTAGGGTTTCCCTCCCCTTCCACGGCAAACAGAAGGGGCTTAGGTGATTAGACAGTTGTCTAGGCAGCGAATGCTCTACCACAGTGATAACGGGCTAGACTAAGGGCAGGCTCTGGACAGGAGGGATTTGTGGAGCAGTGACAAATACTTCCTCTCTCTGCTAGCCTCACATCCCACAATCCAGCCCATTGCCCAGGACCAGACTGGGATCAGATATTCCTCTGCCCTCTTCCAAGCTATGGTGCTCACCTGGCCAAGTCGGGGCCAGATGGTCTGAGAAGGGAGCCTGCTTAGAGTAGAGGGTACTCTTGGCGGGGGGCCCCTAGGGCCAGGTCTCTATGTCTTTCTCTCCTTGTGTGGAGGGGTCTGGGGGATGGGAAGGCCTCAGGGCAGCTGTCTCTGAGCTGGCATCTGAGCTGGGTGGGGGCCTGGGATTCCCAGGATAGCTCAGGGAAAGGGAGGGCTGGGGGAAAGCGGGGAGCACATGAAGGAGGAAGAGCAGATTCTCTTTATCATCCTTTCCACTCTCACTATTTTTGCTCAGATCTGGGAAAGAATTCCCCGCTTCTGAGGAGGGGTTCGCCTAAGCTTTTCTTGCTAGCCTAACCTAGATCCTGGGATGTCCCTGTCCTGGGAGGAGAACAGTCACTGGGTTATGGAACTGAGTAGTGGGTCCAGTTCTCTTTTCCCCAGCTTCCTACATCTCAAAGGCCCTGACCTGCCCCAACCTGCCACTTTAAGGCTTGGAAACGGCCCGCCCCTCCCATCTCTGTAGCAGCTGCTTATCTGTGTCCTGAGGCGGGAGGAGGAGGAGGAAAGAGAGCCAGCCTCCTGGGGTGGTGTGGGTTCCGGGTCTTTCTGGCCATGGAGCAGGGCAAAGAACAGGAGGGAGGCCAGGTGAGATATTGGTCTGAGCTGGTGGGAGATGAACGGGGAAAGGAGTGTTGGGGGTCGGGAGCACTTTGGCAGGGCCAGGGGTTCTTTTGGAGGTGTGGGGGGAAGTGGGGCACAGTCTCTTGCTTGGGGAGATGCCATGGTGTACATGGGCATCTTAGGGGCATGACTTGGCCCTCGTCCCTCAGGTTGCTGAGGAGAGATGGTGCCTATATCCTGCTGACTGGGATAGGTCTAAGGGGCCAGGGATTGAGGGTCAGGCCATGATACAGTGATCAGATTGGGACTCACAAGACCTGGGCCTGGGAACAGTTTCAGGAAAGCTGTCCTTCAGTGGGATTGGGAATTAGCCCTACCCATTGTCATGGTGCCCCAGGCTCATGTTGATTTGGGACTAAGGTAGGAAGGAGAAGATAAAGCTGTATCCCTGCCCTTGTGTGTTTTGTATATCTCATGGTCTATATATATGTACCTGTTTGTGTGTCTCTGTGTTTTTACACATGTGACTGTCAGCATGTCCGAGTGCCTGTGTATTTTCTTGGCAAGTGTCCCATTGGGGTGCAGAATGAAAAGTGAAAGGAAACTAGGGTAAGGGTGGGGAAGGATGGCTACTCTTGTGGGCAGGCAGAAGGAGGTGCCTTTAGCTACTCAGCCTATTTTAGGGTTCAGTCATTCCTTTCTCCTCTCCTTCCCATTCTCCTGGGGGTTCTTGGAGGTTGGACCTGAGGAAAGAAGGAGCGAGGGCTCTAAGACACTGACCAGATTTAGACCACGGTATCATAGGCAGTGCCGGAAGAGTTAGCTGTCCTCTGCTCCTTCATGGGATTGGGTGTTAGGCTTCCCAGTTGGCATGAGAGTGGCAGCAGGGCAGTCACAGTGGATAGAGTTCTGGATTTAGGTTAGGAAGACTGGGAGGATTTAGCTGTATCCTTGTCCTCTGTGCCCACACCCCGTCTGCTAATCCCCCCCTGTGCCTAGAGTATGGATCTAGCTTTGGGAAGAGTCAGAGGAGCTCTCCATTGACAGACAGCCCGAAGGGACCTCAGAGGTCATCTAGTCCAAACCCCTCCTTTACAGATGAGGAAACTGAGGCTCAGAGAGTTGCAGTGGCTTGCTAAGGCCACACAAGTGATAGGCATCAGAGGAGAGAAAGACCAGATGTCATCTAAGGTCTCCTTCAACTCCAGATTCTATTACCCAAGCTTTCTCATCATTTGGGATGTGGGAGTCATGGCCAGGCTTGGACATGGGATGCGCCGTGCCTTTAGTCTTTCTTACTCCATCTTGCTAGGAACGCCAGCGTCTAGAAACCATCCTGAACCTGTGTGCTGAGTACAGTCGGGCCGATGGGGGCTCGGAGGTAGGGGAGCTGCCCAGCATCGGCGAAGCTGCCATGGCCTTGGCCCTAGCAGGCAGAAGGCCCTCCAGGAGCCTGCCTGGGACAAGCGGGGCCTCTGGACGGGGCACTGAGGAGCTCAGTGGGGCCACCCAGAGGCTCTGGGAGAGCGTGGAGCGCTCTGATGAGGAGAATCTGAAGGAGGAGTGTAGCAGTACTGAGAGTACTCAGCAAGAGGTGAGGGGAAGTCCCAGACCTGGAGGCAGAGGCAGTGGAGGGCAGGGAGGGTCTTAGGGAGGAGGGCTTAGTGAGAAGGACAGGCTTGAGATGAGGGCTGAGGGTGATGGAGGGAATCTGGGGCTGAGAGGAAGGGCAGGGGAGGACGGGAAAGAGAGTCCAGATGAGAAATAGCATGGGAGGTGGTGGGAAGGAGTCCGGAAAGGAAGGAGATTTGGGGAATGGAGATTGGAACGGGGGTGGGGGGTGGGAGGGTGGTTACCAGGGTCGGGGACAAGAAGAGGAAGGGCCTGGAGATGGGAAATTTGGTTCTATGAAGTAGGGAGGGGCTTTGGGATGAGATAGTATGATAGGGCTGAGAAGTGGGGTTGGGGATGATTTATTATAAGAAAAAAGGAGGCTGAGGATAAGGGATGGGATATTGAGATAAAGAGAAGGGAGATGAGGGGGAAGGTAAGGGATGAGAGGCGAGAGGAAGGAGGGAGGAGAAGTGGCATGGGGTATTGTTTTCTAGGTTTCATAGACCATAAACTTTTTATGACCCCCCCCCAACTTTGGCCTTGAGGCCCCACCTAGGCTTGGTGTTCCTACTATAAATCATTACTCACTTTAAGTGAGTCAGCTTTTTCTGTGGGGTCCCTTGGGCAGGAAAATAAGGGGAAGGTGGTTCAGACTGATGGCTGGCTTTTTCCCCACAATCTTCTGACACCCCAGAGAAGGCCCAAGGTTTGGCCCAGTCCCTCTAAGTCTTGAGGCTTCTCTGTTTTGCAGCATGAAGATGCTCCAGGCTCCAAGCTCCAGGGCGAGGTGTTGGCCCTGGAGGAGGAGCGGGCAAAGGCACTTGGGCGTGTGGAACAGCTCAAGGGCAGAGTAAAGGAGCTGGAACACCAGCTGCAGGAATCGGCGAGAGAGGTGAGTGCTGGCGGCCTTTGAGAGGACTCGCCACCCTCCTGCCCCGCAGGACTGAGGGCTTGGACTCCCCTGGTTGTGACACGGACCCCGGGCTGTGCCCACAGGCTGAGATGGAAGGAGCGCTGCTTCAGGGGGAACGGGAGGCGGAGCGGGCACTCATACAGAAGGAGCAGAAAGCTGTCGACCAGGTGCAGGAGAAGCTGCTGGTACTGGAGACGGGCATGCAGAAGGAGAGGGACAAGGTAACACGAAAGTGGGCACCTCAGCTGCATCTGAGGTCCATGCTGCCTGTCAAAAATGGAAACTTGGTGTTGGTATCACCCTCTCCGCTGGGGATGGGGCTTCTCTGCACCACCCTCATAGGTCATGGAGCCTTGTCCCTTGTGGGGGATGCCAGCTTGGGCAGGGTGCTGGGCTGGTATCTGGGCCTCTCCTCTCTCTAGGTCTCTCTCTGCTGCCTCTGGGTGTCAGGGGCTTTGCCAGTGCTGGCTTCCCCTGGGCACTTAATAGGTACCTGGACTTATCCTTTGCAAAGGTCTAGAACTCCCTTTTTGGTAGGGGAAACACCAAAGGAACAGAGGAGTAATTCAGTTTTCGATGTCCCCCCTGGGTTTGCTGAGATTCTGTCTGGCCCAGCCCTAGTGCCTGGTGCCCTAGCAGGCAAAGCCCTATTAATGCCCAGACCCAGGTAATATGGACTCAGCTCTCAAAAAAATGACTAGCCCACGTTGCCATCTTGGTGTCTGTCCTTTTGTGCCCCCCACCCCACCCTCAGTGCCTGTCCTCTGGAATACGCAGTTTTTCCCATCCCAGATAGTCCCAGCTTTCTGCCCCTGAACCTTTCAGATCTTGTGCCAGCCTGCAGGGCCACTCCGTCCCACACGTGCCATGCCAGCTGAGCCTGAAGAGCCCAACATTGTGCCAAAGGGTCTGAAGTGAAAAGGGGGGAATTTGTTTCTGGATCTGACAGTTTTCTGAGGGCCTTTCCCCCTCTTGGAATTTTTGCAAGTCTTTTTCCTCTTCCTCTCCTTTTTTGAGGAACTATTTTTTTCTTTGATTTTTTTTTTCATTTTGGAGCATTGGGCTCTGGGTCCCCCAAACCACACTCCCAAAGTCTGTGCCAGATTAATCCCATGCTTGCCAGCCAGGCCTGCACTAACACTCTCTCTAATAATTGTTGTGGGCCCTCCATAGTTCCTCCGCATGCCATCTTAACTGCCAGTGCTGCCCTAGGTAGGAGTTGTGCCCACTGCCCCTAGGGCAGCTCTCTGGCTTTGCCCACTTCTGCACTAACTCCATGGGCACCTGTGTGCCTCTGACCTCTCCCCTCTAATGCTATTTCCTTCTCTTCTTGGTGTGGGACCCCGGAGCCCCTAATCAGAAAAGGATGGGGGAAGGGAACTGGGGTTGAAAAATACAACTCAGATGCTCTTCTGTGGGGCATAAAGGAGGCACAGTGTTGGGGGGGGTGCCTATATAAAGGCCTTGACATAAACCACATCTTAACATAATCACCATCAAGAACTGTGAGGTACCTAAGGGCTTATTCTACAGAGCACTGTGTTAGGCACTCTATATGTGGGAGAAATGCAAAGTTTAGATAAGACCTTGTCCCTGCCCTCATGAAGATTACAGTCAAGTGGGGGTTAGGGGGGATAAGGAGCAAAGAGAAATAACTGGGGTATCTATCATTACATGTTATGTGCATTCGAGATGAAAAACAAATTGGGGACCACCAGGGGGTCAGGAAGAGCAGGGAAATCTATTAGCAGTGGCAGTGGCAGTGGCAGTCAAGAACAGTGAGAATTGTTCTGGAAGAAGGGGAGACAATCAGCCCTGCCCCAAACTGCTTGACCCTGTGCCTGGGGCAAGAAGAACCTGGCAGGGATGACATAGCCATGTTAGGGTCCCTGCCATGGCTTCTTTACTGGACTGAGGAAGGGCAGAGAGTCATCTGCCAGCCTGATAGCTATCTCTCCCTAATCCAGAGGTCCTAATCCTTTTTGGTATCATGAATCCCTTTGGTGAAGCCTTCTCAGAACCATGTTTTAAATGCTTAAAACGAAACACATAGGCTTACAGAGGAAGACAATTATATTGAGATTCAGTTACCAAAACTGTGAACCCAAGTTCACAGACCCCAGGTTAAAAATCCTAGCACTAGACCCTCTTTTTGGTACCATGCCCAGAACTGGGCACTTCAGCTCCTGGAGCTGGGGAGGCAGACACTGTAGAAGAGTTAGTGCTCCAATTGAGCCACAGAGAACATTAAAGGACTAAGCCCCCAAAAGAAGGCAAGCTGTGCCCCAGGAGCTTGCAGGCAGGGGAGGACAGTGCCTCCAGGGAGGAGAAGGAGATGTGTACCCCCAACCTCCTGGCAGCCTGAGTCTAAACTCCAAGCTTTGGTTTATCTGGTGTTTCAGAGCTAAAGCTGGTACTTAGGATTTAATGTCCCACCTCTTAGGAGGGTTCTGTTGGGTCTCCATCTGATTTGCCTTCCACCTGGGATTATTCAGAGGGTCTTCTCAGCTGTAAAGGTGCTGGCTGAGTAGCCTTAATGAACTCTCTTCTTCCAGCCCAGGCTTCCAGGCTTGGGAGTCAATAATAACGGTTTCTCCTCTGCCCATCCTTTCCCATGGGGTGACTCACCAACTCCTCCCCTCTTTTCCCACCCCCACCCCTAAAGGTGTCATCTCTCCCTAGACTGAGCCATCTACCCTCCTCCCTTTACCCATTCCTGGGGCTCTGATTACCATGGCAACGGCCACACTAATTGCAGTCCTCAGCCCAGCCCATGGTTCAGACCTTAGATGCCAGCATCTCTCTGCATCCTGGGTGGGAGGGAAAAGGAGGCTGAGTGAGGGGTGGGGGTGGGAGGGTGGATAGAGGAGAGGGTGCTGGGGTCCCCTCCTCTGTGTCAGCTGCTGCATTAATATCCTCAGCTTCCCCTCCCCCTCCATACATACATCCACTAATTTAACCCCCTTTCCCAGGTTAGACTTTGGTCTCTGGGTGCTGCTGGGTGGGAAGGCGGGAGGGAGCTAAAATCTCCTCATTTGTAATATGGAATAAACCATGGCCACCGCTAGTTTGGCAGGAAAACCAACCTGTTGGCATCAGTGTAGGACCCACTTAAAAATTTCCAGTTCTAGAAACCTCCTGAGACCAAAGCCCATCCTAAGTCCCTCCTCTGCTATTATTCCTATCTCTTACTCTTCCAAAATTTTTTTACCCCAATCCATAACTCCCTACCTTTTCCCTTCCTCATTGTACTTTTTCTCTACCCAGTCCCTACTTGGACTCCCCTTGTCTCCTTTCCTTCTTTCTCCTGGATTTTTCTTCTTTATTTCCCTTTATTTCTCTCTCCTCCTCCTTCCTCTTTCCATCCTTTCTCCCTTCCTTTTATCTTCCTCTTTCTCATCCCATCTCCCTTCTTTCTCTTTTCCTCCTTCCTATCCTATCCTGTTCCTCTCATTCTCCACTTCCCTCCCCCCATCAGCTCCCTTCCTTTCCCCATCCCCAGATGCATGGCATGGAGTTAGAAGTGTGTGTTCTGTTTTTCCCCTTTTTGTGTTGTATACCCCTTCCCCCTCCCCACCTCCCTCCAGGAGAGGGTGGAGCTGGCCGTGGGACGGAGTGAACTGGAGGCCCGCCAGGCGCTGTATGACGAGCTCAAGACACAGCTCGATAACTGCCCCGAGTCTGTTCGGGAACAGTTACAGGAGCAGCTGAGAAGGGTCAGTTTCACAAACCACTAGCCCCTGTCCTGACTCCCCTGCCATGGTCTTGGAGCTGTCCTCAGGGGCCCTCCCTCAAGCAGAGAAGAGAGCAGAGCGACGGTGCCACCGGGCAGGATGGCAGTACCCTGGATGAGCCTCCCTTCGAGGGCTCTGCAGAGGAGTGGCCATGGAATTGGCCCTTTCCATCTTCCTCCCCTCCCTCTTATTCAGTTATGTTTTTTGTACTTTCTGCCACCTTTGGCCTGGGCTGTAAGATGCCCTTTTGGTACCAGATAAAGGGGCATAAGGGTAGAGCTGAGCCCAAGGGGAGGGGGGGTGGAGTCTTTTTCCCCTCAATCCCAGAAACATCTTGCTCTGTAGAACACCTCTTTGTGGCCCTCACACTTGCCGCCTCCCTGGTAGTCTGGCTCACCAGGTCCCAGACTGGCACGGTGGACTACAACTGAGTCCCAATCTCTTCCCCAACCATTGTTATCAAAGGAAGCTGAGGCTCTGGAGACAGAGACAAAACTCTTTGAAGACCTGGAGTTCCAGCAGCTGGAGAAGGAAAGCCGATTGGAGGAGGAGCGGGAGCTGGCAAGCCAAGGACTGCTCCACAGCAGGGCAGAGCTGCATCGGAGCATTGCCAAGAGAAAGGTGGGACCTCCCCTTCCCCGACTTGAAACCCTTCCCCCTGGGCCCCTGCCTTCCCAGGGAGTCATCAAGTCAGCCTATACCCTGTCTGAGCTTTTAGTGGGGCAAGTGGATTGAGAGTGGGCAGCCTGGGGCAGAGAGCCAGTCAACAAGCATGACTTACTATATACCAGGCACTATGCTAAGTGCTAGGGATACAAAAGAAGGGAAAAACACGGTCCCTGACTCGAAGGAGCTCATGTTCTAATAGGTAATATAAGTAACTAGGTACATATTATATACACACGTACTAAGTAGGTGGCCGGTCATCCAAAGGGAGGAGGCATGAGGAGCAGCAGGACCTAGAAAGACCAGGAGAAGCTGAAATTTGAGTTGAGTCTTGGAAGAAGCCAGAGACACCAAGAGGTGGGAGTGAGGGGGCAGAGTGTTCCAGGCATGGTGGGCAGCCAAGGCAAATGTATGGAGAGATTTGCTGCAGGCGGGCCAGTGAAGCCAGACTCTAGAATGTGTAGAAGGGACTAAGGCATGAGAATCATGTGAGGTAAAAAGTGGCCAGTTCATGAAGGGCTTTACATGCCAAACAGAAGAGTTTCATTTGACTCTGGAGGTAATGGAGGACCGCTGGAGACCACCGAGCAGGAGCTCAACCCTCCCACTTAGAAGAGTCACCTTGGCAGTTGATAGGAAGATGGATTAGAGTGGGGAGAGATTTACGGTGAGGAGATTGGTTAGGAGGCTGTGCCAGAGGCCGGATGGGAGGGGATGAGGCCAGAGCTAGGGGGTGACTGTGTAAGGAGAGCAAAGGGGCCATGGATGAGATAGTGTGAAGATAGGAATGATGAGCTTCCGCCTCAGATTAGATATGTGGGCTGAGAGGGAGGGGTTGAGGATGATGAGGCTGAGGCTTTGAGCCGGGGTGACTGGGAGGACTGTGATGCGCTTTAACAGTACTAGCAGATCTAGAAGAGGAAGTGTTTGGGGGCCAGGGGGAGGGGGATGAATTCTGTTTTGGACATTTTGACTTTGAAGTGCCTATAGGGCATCCAGTTCAAGATGTCCAAGGGGTGTTTGGTGATGGATAATTGGAGTTCAGGAGAGAGACTGGAGCTGGGAAAAAGTCTGGTCTTCCTTCTCAATGCAGGGGGAGATAAGACGCAAAAAACTGAGAGACCTAAGTAGCTATGGGCAGCTGAGGAAGACATAAGAGCTTCCGTGGTATGAAGTAATAGAGAAAAATAGATCAGGGGATAGAGGGAAGGAGGTGTGGGGGGGTGTTTGTCCTTCATTTTCAAAGAGGACCAAAGATTCTGTCTCAATGCTTACTCAGCCCTTGGAAGGAGGTTAATTTAGAGAGAGCTTCCAAAGAAGAGTTGTAGTTGCTGTTCATGTTCTACATGACCCCATGGACAGAGTCCTCGGGGTTTTCTTGGCAAAGATGCTGGAGTGGTTTGCCATTTCCTTCTCTGATGTATCCCCATTTTACAGTTGTGGAACTGAGGCAAACAGGGGTTAAATGACTTGTCTAGCTAGGGCCATGCAGCTAGTAAGTCTCTTGAGGCCAGATTTGAACTCAGATCTCCCTGGCTCCAAGCTCAGGGCTTCATCTATTGTACCACCTAGCTGTCCCTCCAAGTAGAGATGAAGGCTGAACAACACTTTGTGGGAGGTGAGAGCTGTGACTTGGTGGAGAGGCAGTAGAAAGAAGCATGATCTGGGCTGAGTGAATGACTGAGTGAGACTTAGGAGAAGAGCTGTATATGAGGAGGGAGACTCCATGTGAGGGAGTTATGGGAAGGGAGAACAGAGTCATAGAAGAGATGGACAGGAAGGACCTTGAAACTCAGCGGACAAGTTTGGGAATGACTGAGAGCTGTCTGGCTGTCCTGTTTTTTCCGATTTCTTCCTTGTGAACCCAACTGATTTCAGTTCATTTTCCTCTCTTCAGTGATTGCTCAGGGAGGTCAGGTTGGAAGTAGACAGTAGGTAAACTCAGACAGGCAGCTAAGTGGTGTAGTTGTTAGTGTGAGGAATACCTGAGTTCAAATCCTGTTCCATCCACTTACTAGCTGTGTGACCCTGGGCAAGTCACTTAACCCCGTACGCCTCAGTTTCTTCATCTGTAAAATGAGCTAGAGAAGAAAATGCAAATCAATCCAGTATCTTTGCCAAGAAAACACCAAATGGGTCATGAAGAGTCAGACACAGCTGAAAAACAACTGAACAACAGCACAGGGTTGTTATGAAGATAGAGTAAGATAATAGATATAAACCCTTTCCAAATACCAAAGTGCCATATAAATGTTGTTATCATCATCATTATTATTTGAGTCCTCTAGTCTTGTCTTGTCCCTTTATAGTTCTGACGCCCTCTGGGGAGAGCCCAAACTCAGTTAAACCTCATGTATGAGGTTTAGGTGCATGATCTGTACCAAGGTGATTTGTTCATTTTATAACCTCAAACCAGTTGGAAAGCTTTGTGTCTCTAACCATCTTTCAGTGACTCCATGATACCATTAGAAAGGGTGCCCCAGGGGTAGCTAGGTGGCGCAGTGGCTAGAGCACCGGCCCTGGATTCAGGAGGACCTGAGTTCAAAACCCAGCCTCAGACACATAACACTTACTAGCCATGTGACCCTGGGCAAGTCACTTAACCGTTTTGCCTAGCAATAAAAAAAAAAAAAGAAAGGGTGCCCCTTCTGACTCTATGGGTCATAAGTCGTGAACAGCTTTTCATCCTCAGTGATGCACATCCACACCTCTCCATAAAGGACCTACCCAACATGTAGGAGGCCTTCCTCCCTCTTTTCAAAATGTTTTGTGGATTCTAGTGCGACATCCAGTCTTCTCTACTTGTTTTGTCCTTAGTGATATCTTTTACACCATTTCTTGTGTGCGTCATCTCTGGCTCTAATGCACAGCCAACCTAACTTCCCTGCCCTCTCCCCTCCCCTCACACCCTGTTTGAGTTGGTTGCAGCAATTTTGATTCTCCTGACATCAAGGTGTTTTCCTTACAATTCTACATGGCGGCATCAGAAACACATCTTCTGAAATTCTATTGTTCTCCTGGTGATGAATAGAGTCACCACCTGGAGAATTGTTGGTTTGTCCTTTGTTTTGAAGAGGGCCTTGGCATCAGGAAGGTGATGTCATGACATGCAAGTGAATTGGATTTACGTGAAGGAGGACTGTGCAAAGTCTCCAGCCGTCTGGATCGGATATATCTGGTATAGATCAGGACGACTGGAGATGGCTCTGGATGAAGTGGGATACCTTCGCCTTTTTAAGCTAAGATCTTTAACAGGTCTCAGTTTGACTGAGACTGCCCATTCAGTGATTAAGGCTGGGTAAGAAATGAGGCAGAGAATGGCCTCTTTTACCTAGGCATAATAATAATAATAATAATGTTTTAAAAGATGGGCTTTTGTTGCATGGAGCAGCTTGGGATTAGTAAAAGAATTGCAGTTTCCTAAATGGCAGCTAGGTGGTGCAGTGGATAGATTGCTGTGCCTGTAGTCAGACAGACTCCTGAGTTCAAATGTGACCTTCAGGCACTAGCTGTGTGACCTTAGGCAAGTCACCTAACCCTGTTTGCCTCAGTTGCCTCATCTGTCAAATGAGCTGGAGAAGGAAATGGCAAACCACTTCAGTATCTCGGCCCAAAAAACCTCAAATGGGGTCTTGAAGATTCAGGCATGCCTGAAAAATGACTGAAAAATATTATTCACTCCTATTTCCTATTCCTTTTCAATTCTGGGCCCTCTTCATTGTCTGTCTGTGCACGCGTGCATGTGCGTGCACGCACACACACATGCATAAGACTCAGTTGTCTTTCCATCCAATCATTTGTCATAGTCTGAGCAATGGGCATTCCTCATCCATTTGGTTTTCTTCTCTGTGGAGTGCTAAGGCTGCTCTCTTTTAAGTGACTCTGAATCTTTCTGAGGAGGTTATGGAGCGGTCTGGCACTTGATGCAATCATTCTAATGTCATCTGCAACCAGGAACGCTTGGAGAACTTTGCCATTTCTAGGGAACTCATCTTTTATTTGGACGACGTGCTGGGAGGCCTCCTCCCTGACATCAGTGAACATCTTTGACAAGCAAGTGTCTATCTGGCTATTTTATTCTTCACTTGATGTTGGCAAAAGATTGTTGTTGGACGGCTTATTGCTGAGCAAGGTTATCTCCATGGTTGCACTATCATGAATCAGTTATAATCATAGGCATGGGAGCCCTTATTGGAGGGAGAGTCCCCAAGGCTGTGTTTTGCTGCACTGAGTGAAATAGTTTTTTGTAGTCATCACACAATAGACAGAAGAGGCTCTTGCATGCTCTCCTCTCATCAGCTGTGTTACTACAAAGATGTGCTCTGCTGTGGACGATCATCTATGAAAGCCTCACTGTTTCCCTCTCATGCTTTCACCTGAGGATACCCTCATTCCACGTGTGGACCATTGTCATAAAGATGCTCTAGCAATGACAAAGCACTCCTTGGGATGGTAGTTGCTGATGTCTTCTCAGTTACCCTTTTTTAAAAATGAAAACTGAGGTCTGTAATCTTTTCCATCCCTTTAGAATCTTCCCTTCTTTGAATTTTTTTTTTTTTGCTTTTCCCTTAAGGTCTTGATAATTTTTTACAAAATTAATTAATTTGTTTTTGGTTTTCAACATTCATTTCCATAAGCTCTTGAGTTTTAAATTTTCTCTACCTCCCTCCCCTCCCCACTCCCCAAGATGGTGAACAATCAGATATAGGATCTACATATACATTCTTATTAAACATGTTTTCCATTAGTCATGTTGTAAAGAAGAATTAGAACCAATAGGAGGAACCACAAGAGAGAAGAAACAAAACAAAATAAAAAAGAGAGAGCAAATAGTATGCTTCGATCTGCATTCAGACTCCATAGTTCTTTCTCTGGATGTGGGTAGCATTTTCCATCATGAGACTTTTGGAGTTGTCTTAGATCCTTGTATTGCTGGGAAGAGCTAAATCTATCAA